TGTGGAGCCCCCATTTACGGAGGAGTGAGGGGAGGGCTTGTAGATGGGCCGTGGCATGTATTCAAATGGTTAATCTGCTTTCTTTCCTCAATTCTTAGCGTAAGCTCCTTAGAGGGAATCAAGTAAGTAATTATACAGCAACTCCTAGCAGCACCCATTTCAGACTTCCTGGGAAGAAGTTTGGAAACGCTAACAAACCCCACGGGTCTTGCAAAAGTCTTCGGAAAGGCAAGACAGGCAGGGAGAGATCATTAACAATCTTGCTTTGAATACCCTTTTTCAGTGTGGTAACGCAGAAAGAGAGTTTATTATTATCGTGCAGTTTACACAATGCTTAGGGTTATATCTCATGTCCTAAATATAGATATGGGATTTACTACGTTCCTGTCAGTGCTCGGCAAAAGGAAATCTTACCTTGATTCACCTATATCTCTGTACAACCAAAAGAGATGTTCTTTTTCCTGAGTTGATGGTTTAGTCACTAAATAACCAGTACTTACCCTTCTTCATAGTTTTTTGCATCCATCCATCTTCCATTCTATGATAATAATATATAATAATAATGTGTATATTAATAGTAACACAGCATACACATGTACGTGGCAGGCCCTGTTCTAAGCACTTCATACTTATTGACTCAATCTTCCTAATCCCTTGGAAGTAAGTACTCTTATTATCCCCGTTTTACAGATCAGAAAGGGGAGGCACAGAGCAATTCAGTAATTTGTCCCAGGTCATACTGCTAGAAAATGGGAAACTCAAGGGATTCTGAATTCAGAGTCTATAATTTAATTGCTACAGTCTGTGATTCTCTCTGTTTCTCTCTCTGTTTTTCTTCTTTCTTTCTTTTCTTTTATTTTTTTTTTGAGACAGAGTCTCTCACTTTGAAGTTTTCCTTTCCAGCTGGGAGCTGGGGGCTTTTGTGTTGATGAATGGGGCCCGTCTGCTAGGCCAGAGTTTTGGGGTGGAGTGGAGTAGTGCAGACTCGGTTTACTGCAACTTCCACTTTCCGGATTCCAGCGATCCTCACACCTCAGCCTCCCAAGTAGCTGGGACTACAAGCCCGGGGAACCATGCTCA